CCTGTTCCATTCAGTTAATTCAGCAAGGGCATAGAGATTTTTTTTTTCTTTAGCAGTAGAAAAAAATGTAGCCTGGGGGCATGTTGCTTTGACAGATTGGGGTTACGTGGTTGACGCTTCCTTCCCCAGCCCCTCCTGGCGGGCCGTATGAAGCATGGATGATTGGAAGTGGCTATCCGGATTTCGCTCTTTAGCTGATGGAAGGACACCACAGTAGTCTAGAAGCACTTGTTACAGATTTTGCTTTTCCTGCGAGGGATGCTTGACGGCTCAGAGAATATCCTGTAGAAATAAAAACTAAGGTATTTTGGCTGTGTGGGAGGGAAGCATTTCATCACAGCGAAGAATAGGGGATTGCACAGTCAAATAAGCAGTTCTTGGCAGGTTTTAGAGACCAGCAGTGGGAAGTAAGAAGGGTGGATCGGATAAGAGTGTGGGAAGGAATAAATGGAAATGTACTGAAGAGAGACTATAGCATCATATTTAGAATATGTCACTTTATCAGAATTATGTTGACTGGTTATTAGCAAAAGAGAAGGAATTGTTTTTTTAGAGGAAGAAGGGTTTCATTTCCCCTTCATTAGCTGAGGAACCTGCTGACAGGGATTAAGGCAGAATAGTACTGAATGGGGGCTTCAGCCACTCCCTCATGTCTGCAAGAAAGGGTTATTTTTAACCTAGATCTGCTCAGTGACTGCATTTGCAACATAGCCCTGCAAAAAAAAAAAAAATTTAAAAAAAAAAAAAAAGCTCTGCTGGCAAGACTAAGGCTGCTTTGTGCTGCTGTGTGAGAATGGGATGGAGAGGTCCGGGGTGGGAATCCTGTAGGGCAGCGGTGCCCCTGATGCCTGTGTCATGAAAATATGCCTGAGTTAACTATCGTCCTCTGACCTCAATCCATGCTGAAACAGGGGCTTTGCATAATCATTGAAGGAGACAGTTCCTGCTCCGTGAGATGTTATGTTTTGAATTGCCAAAATAGACAAAGGAGACATTGTCAGCCCTTCACGCAAGGGAACCGGAGGCAGAGAGAGGGATATTTGTCTGGGGCACACAAGGCTAATTTTGACACAAGAGGTACTTAAACTCAAGTTTCCTGAATTTGTGTACTGCAACTGCAAGATTGCCCTTCCTTTCTATATTGGATTTTTCTTCTCCCTGAAACTTCAGTTCTAATACAGGTTGTTTATCAAAAACATTATTTCATTTTGCTCTGTTTAACAAACCGCTGGCAATTCTTTCCTCAGACAAAGCTGTGCAGCTTGCATGCAGATTCGAGTGACAGCACTGAAGTCGCAAATGCCCCAGGGAGCTTCAGGGGGATTTTCACATTGGGACAATCAGGGACAATGATGGAAGGACAGGCAGAGATGTGACTCTGGCTTCTGCTATTCTTTGTGCTTCTGAGGATCACAACACCACGGATAGGTAGAGGGAGAGCCTGCAAGAGCAGTAATGCTGTTCTGCCCAGCTTCACACAGGAAGGAAAAGAAAAGAAATATCTTACTAACTAAAATGTCCATTTTTCTTGCTTAAACTTGTTAACTCCAGGAAAGCCAGTCAGACTTGGCATTGCATGACCAAGCTGGGGCTCTTTGGGTTTTTTTTACGAGGCAGTATTGAGTGGAACCATCTGGGCTAGGAGAAGACCACACTTCTGAAATAAGCCTTTAGGAGTACTTAAGTAGCTGTCTGGGGCACCATGCTGAAAGGAAGGGCTCTCACAGCTGCATGTATTTTATGGGTTTATTTTATCTCTGATGACAAAAGAGAACTTACTAGTCATGTGGTTCCTCATAAATTTGAAGCCACTGCTGACAAGTGGCACTGCCTGTGTCCTCAGCCATGCTGGTGCGAAGTTTCCCCAACTTTCTGTCTGGCGGTGTTAATAATGATGCTGCTAATGGATGCTGCTTTAGAGAATTTTTCTCTGAACTTAAAATCCCCGAGTTACAGTTTGAGAATGGGAACTTCAGTATCTTAAGTACCTTGGGGGAATACTTCCATGGTCATTCATCTGATATCAAAGTGGCTCATCTCTCTGGGTCCTCAGGCCCAAGTCTTCCGAAAGGCATGCTGTTCACTGTCCTGAGAGCTGAGAGCATCTGCATCTCCAAAGCTAATATCCCTCCAGAAAGCTACATACAGGTTTGGGAGCATAACTTTGAGTATGTCAATGGTGCATCTCAACTTGGGCGGTTTAAGCTATTCTTCTGCATTGCAGTCTCTGTTTGGTTTTGTTGGGTTTTTTTATTTATGCCCCATTGGGGCAGCTTCCTAAAGTACCTCCAGGGGCCTGGTTCCACTGCCTGTGTTCCAGTTTCCAATGGTACACTTTATTTCTGTGTTAGGAGGCAAGCTCCCCTCCTTCAAGCACTTTTCTATGTGACAGACCTGGAAAGGGGCACATCAAATTCAGTATAATTTCAAAAAATGTAGCCTATTTTCCTATACTTTCTAGTTACTGAGATTAATCTTCGAGAGAGATCGCTCATGGTAAAATATTTACCAGTGTATGACCTCAGCTAAGATAATAGCTTTTATAGTGCAGGTGTGAAGAAAGAAAAACTTGTTCCTTAACCTTTTTTCAATCCATGTCCTGTTCAAGCTGTGTCTGTTTCAATGGGCCCTAGATGCTGGGCATGGTGTTTATTAATCTGATTTACTAATAGACTCCGAAGGTTTAAACAGAGAGAGAGAAAGAAGACAAACTGGCCTCAGGCTTACGGGAATCAGATTCACGCCAGCTCTGCCACAGGCACCCACTTGACTTTATGCACAACCTTTAGTATTTGTGCTTCCCCTGTCTACAAAATGCAGATACTAATTCTTCTTTTTTTCCCTATCCATACGTGTATAGGCTGCAAGTTTAGACAGGAATCAGCTCCTCCTGTGCCTTTGGATGCCTCACTAATGAGTCCCTGATCTTAGGTGAAACTTCTAGTTGCTTCTGTAAGGCACATAATAATTACTGGCTTCAACTTGCTTCAAGAAAAAATGCAACCTTTGGATTACATTGGTGTAAATAAAAAGTCCACTACAGCGCACAAGTCAAAAAACGCTGGTAGTGTTCAGCATCAATGTCTGTCGCTTGAACATCTGGCATGGATCATTGCTTTCCTTTTCCTTCCACTGTCATATTTTATCCCCATCTGTTAGAGGTTTCTTAGCACTGTCTATATAAATCATAGCTGCATCTCAGTCTGGGTAGCTGAATCATTACAGACTGCAATGTAAATGAAGGGAAAAGAGGTGAAGTTAGGGGAAGTGTTTCTCCAATGCACTCTGCTCCACTTCTTTCTCCTCTCTCCCTGGACACAGACAGTACTAGACAGTATTACTAGACAGCATGATACTCCTGCTATGAAGAGCAATGGAAAAGTTTCCAAAAATAGTAAATGTTTTTACCAGCCCTAGTTCTGAAGGCAGAAAGCAGGAGAGCAGTTGAAGCCTGAGTGGACACCCATTGCCATTGCTGGAAAGACCAAAATTTACTGCTTTGGAACAACCCTTCAGCAAGTTAATAATAAATTGTGAAGGCAAGCATTCCTTAAAATCAGACTTCCCAGGCAATGTCTTTGATGTATTTTCTTAAAATTAAATTGTTCTTACTGCAGCAATTTAGGTTACTGCTAGGAAGAATAATATTGAAGGTGCTGGGAAAATATAGGTGTGTTAATATTAGCCAAAGCAGAATTTTTTTACTTTTTTCTTTTTTTTTTTTCTCAAGAAAACTGTGCAGTGCCCTCGTAATGGCTATTACATGCAGCTCTCCCAAGCTGTGCCGGCGGGGCAGCAAGCCACAGCAGCATTCCAAAGACGGGATTCCAATGAATCCCCCACCACCCATATGAAGTATCTCCAGTAGCACATGCGCGTTGCCCTGCCAAAGGGTAACCAAGCCAGGTGCTCCTGTTTGTGCACGGTGTCACACAGCCCCGTGCACTGGGAGCACATGTGGATTTCATTCCCTGCCAGCTTTAGCAGCTAGAGAAGGTATTTCCTTGTCCTAAAACCACTCTGAGACAATGTAATCCCAAACTACTGGAAGTTCGGGGGAAAAAAGGCCCGTTTCCCTCTGTCTGGAGAGGGCTGCTGCAGACTGCAGTTGCTGTCAATCCCAGAATGTTATCCAGGCTCGAAGCGGGCTGAAGCTGGAGGGTCTGTGCACAGGACAGCTGTCATGTTTTCAGTTTAAAGGACAGCTGGCATTGTTGGGGACTTCATTATACTTGGAACAGCAAGAATGCCTCATGTCACTATCTGTGCTCCTCCTGATTGCCTTGCTTTTTCACCCTTTTTAGTCTCATGTATCAGAAGTGTGTCTTGTTTGAATTGATAGCAGATCAGCTGAAACGAGAATAAACCGTAGCTACTATCACTGGTTGTCAGCTCACGCCTTCTCTTGCTGCAAAGCATGCTGCATTCCTGATAGCCCGTTATTTTTCACTTATGTTCCTGTGGTGTTATCCTGCTACTCAGTGCAGTCTCCCAGATTTCAGCTCAGCAGCCAGATCAATCAAGCAGTAGGTGTCCTGGTCAGCATCTGCATGAAGTGAAAATGACCGGCCCAGCTCATAAGCAGAGCAGCCGCTGTGCAGCCCTGTGCAGCCCTGGGCGACTCCGAGGGTGTGCAGCCATGTGAGAGGCCAGGCAGTCCCTAAAGTCACAGCTGCTCTCTGAAGCTGGTAGATCAGGTGAGTCCTGATGATTTGTTCTGACATTGCAGCCTGTTGCTAGGAGTGGATGTCCTGGTGAAAGCGTTACTACTTGGCAAGACAAAAATGGTGGGCAACGAGAAAGAGAAACGTGGGTCTAACGTTGCACAAACTGCTTCGCGTGAGATATTGCAGAAAGAAAATAAGCCAAGAGTACAGTGGAATGGATGCTGTGATATTGATTTACACTTGTCTTTTTGATATCTGCACTAGATCTCAGCTTGCCAAGCATCTTTCTTGTTACTAGCAGAATATTTATCTTATTCTCTGTTCTTCTTCTAGAAAATTTTACTACATCACGCTGCTGAGAGACCCCGTATCTCGTTACCTCAGCGAATGGCGTCACGTCCAACGAGGAGCTACTTGGAAGACCTCCTTGCACATGTGTGATGGCAGGACACCAACTCCTGAAGAGCTGCCGTCGTGCTATGAAGGCACGGACTGGTCAGGCTGCACGCTGCAGGAGTTCATGGATTGCCCCTACAATTTGGCCAACAACCGTCAAGTGAGGATGTTGGCTGATTTGAGCTTAGTGGGCTGCTACAACATGTCCTTCATCCCAGAGAACAAGCGAGCACAGATCCTGCTGGAGAGCGCAAAAAAGAACCTCAAAGACATGGCCTTCTTTGGCCTGACAGAGTTCCAGAGAAAGACTCAGTACCTGTTTGAGAGAACTTTTAATCTGAAATTCATCCGGCCCTTTATGCAGTACAACAGCACCAGGGCAGGAGGGGTGGAGGTGGATAACGACACCATCCGGAGGATTGAGGAGCTCAATGACTTGGACATGCAGCTCTATGACTATGCAAAGGACCTCTTCCAACAGCGCTACCAGTACAAACGGCAGCTCGAGAGGATGGAGCAGAGGATAAAGAATCGGGAAGAGAGGCTTCTTCACCGGTCCAATGAAGCACTTCCCAAGGAAGAGACTGAAGAGCAAGGACGCTTGCCCACTGAGGACTACATGAGCCATATTATAGAGAAGTGGTAGCCTAGTCAGACTTTTATATTAATGATATTCTAGGGTTTCCGTATAAAAGATCATGGAAGTAAAACTACAAGAACAACAAAAAATATTTTATTTAAAACCAAGTCTGTAAAACAGAAGATGGATTGCTTCCTGAAGCATAGGGTCTTTTTACTGTTTCTTACAAGACCGATGAGATTCTTAAAAAAAATAAATAAATGCATAAAAATAAAAAAAGGGTCAACATTACAATGCAGAGGTAAAAAATGCACAAATGCAGTTACCCACTCTTAAGGCCAAATAGAGAAGAATGTTTCTTATCCTCACAATTCAAACACAGATGGCAGAAGTAGGATTTTAAAAATCTGTTTATCCCCTGAGCGTAGTGATATCATGATATATCATTGAAAAACAAGGAAACAGAGGTTTTCTTTTCTGGGTGTTTTTTGGAGGTGGGATGGGAATTGCATTGCTTGTAAGTAAATGATAACAGTGACTAAGCTGAGGATGTGCTATCCTCTCAGGCCGTGATCTGAGCACAAGGGCGGTCACTTCATTTCAGCTGGCAGCTACTGCCAGAAAGTGGAGCACCATAAAAATAAAAGAAGAAAAATATCAGAGGATGAGAAACATTGAAGGAAACAGACTATGGCCTAGGATATGTACTTAGCACAGTGGTTTTGATACATTGCACTGGTATCACATATGCATACGCAACTTCATCACAAAAGTAATAGGGATTTCATGCACAGACCTCCCAGATGTGTTTCACAGGCACGTCCCAAAACAAGTTAAAAGCTGACCAAATTCCACATGGGCTCAAACGTGCACTCACATGCCATCGTGTCACTCTACACAACTGCTGCTCATGCTGTCATCAGTATTATGTGTTAATAGCACATGAAAACCCTATCCTGCATACTAAAAAAAAAAAAGAAGAATTTAAATAGCAATACTCCCTCATAAATCTGCACGACAAGCTCCAGGGAAGACCCTGCAAATTATCAGTGATGAATGGGAACATGATGAGGGGTGGTTTTGTTTTGTTTGTTGCTGTGTGAAACACTGAACTAGAACAAGCATAGTAGTAGCCGTATCTGTATTATTTCAGTTATTTTTACTTGCTTTTATCAAGAGATAATGGGCATGAGCCTGCTCACAGTGAAGTCCCTAGAACTGAGGGGCTTCCAGAGCTGTGAAAATTTCTGACTATGGGTCTGAATTAATTATGAGACAGTGCACATTGTCTTTTGGCAGAGTGCCTGTTCTGCAGCTCTTACTTTAAATGAACAAGCTGTGTTCATAAAACTGGAAAGGGGAATCATGGATAATGTTTTTTTTGTCTCAGACCACTTTCAAAGCAGAACTCTTTCTCTTTCAATGCTGGTTTTTAGGGACCTATGTATGTTTAATCCTCCAGTGTGGTGACAGTCTAAGTAGGTTCTGCTTGATGAGTTTTGAGTCGTAGAACAACAACGACTTCTCTAATTCCTCTTCCCACTCACCAAATTAAAGTATGGCTTATTTTCTTGCTGTTGCAAGCACTTCTTTGTTTGGCTGGAAGCATGGAAATGAAGCAGTTTCTGCCTGTTTCATGTCTCATCCCGTTATTACTCAGCCTGTAAGACCTGAACCAGCTATTGTTTAGGGTAAACTATGAACCAAATGGAATATGATTTGATTTTCAAAGGCCATGTAAACTGCAGATCAAATATGGCCTTGAAATCACCAGAGGAGAGGAGAGAGCTGGTGCATTCAACTTGAGCATGTCACTTTTACTGTGTCCCTTTCCCATCACACGAATCCACCGAGGTGCTGTTTGGTTTGTATTTTCATTCTCTCTGGCTCTGTACACTGTTTCCAACAGTTTAAAATTCAGAGATTTGCGAAGGAGGGGCTGCCTTAAACAGAGGAGCTGCCTTGTTTCTTCTGTGTACACCCTGGGGGATACACCTTGCCTTGGGAGATGTTCTTCTCCAGAAAAGATGACTAAAAACTTGAGAACAGAAAATACAAACAGCACTTTGGGCTCAAATACAACCCTGTTACAGCCCTGATACAAAGTCCACCCAAGTCAAAGAGTGTCTTTTGATTTCAGATGGCTTTTGATGGGGTGCATGTCCTGGTGCTGCAGAGTGCACGAGCACATGCTCCTCCATCTCAAGCATGGTGGGACGTTGTTCGCGTGCATTCAGCAGGTACCAGCATTGGCTAGTGGTGTCGCTATCTTTAGGGTTCTGTCAGGGCTTCTGCCACAAGACGGCCCCTGTTCCCAGGGCCGTGGAGCCTGGCCATAAGCATTTCCTCCTAGCTGAAAAGCAGGAAGCAAAATGAAGCAATTTTCTGTTGTTGGCTTGGGGGCAGAAGGTATTACAAACCCGTGTGCTCATCTCTGAATTCCAAGACTGGGAGGAGCTGCCTCTGCTAGCTCCCAGTGCTTTTGTGTGTTGCTTAACTAAAGAAAATATTTATATTTTTAAAATGCAGTTTTACAGGCTGTTTACCCACAAAACCAATACACAAGATATAAAAAGTAACTGTTTTGTATGCACAGTTTCCAGCTTTACCCAGAGGCTTTCCACTGCGCATCCTGCGTTCTGGATCCATGACGCACAATGGTTCCTGCAGCTAACCCCTGTTGGAGGTGCACATCGGCACAGCTCAGCAGGGCTGGCTGCTGAGAGCCCTTCTGTGCTGAGGCCAAATTCTGCTCTCATCTACCAAAGGCTGACAGTAAATGGGACTGCCTATGTTTAGGACTGGTGACATTACTTGGCCCGGTTTGCCTGAGTTGTTTCTGTGTTATAGGCTCTGAGTAACCAGCTGGATTTTAATGGATCTTTCTGCAGGGATGTCTAAATCAGAGGCAGCCTCTGACCCCAGAAGCATGTCAGTAGAAGACCTTGTTCCAACATTTGTAATATATTACAGTAACAAGCAAAAGAAATGAAACTATCTTGCAAACTGTCTTGTTAACAGTTTCACTTCAACCCACAAAAGGAGGGCTGACCTCAGCACTGAGGCAGGAATTTCTAGATTCCAATCCTGCGCCCAGCACATGCCTCAGTTTCTCCACCTGTCCATTGGGAATAACAAATTTACTCACCATAAAGAAGTACACCAAGGTATGAGAAGTATAGGGCACTTTGAAACAGATTCTAAGTATTGGAAATGAAGAGAATGACCCAAAAGCTGTCACGCACCCTGGCTGCTGTGCTGGTCTGTTGATGGCCGTAAGCCATGCTTTAATTTATTGTGAGTGCTGGGTGCCAGGGCATGGGTTGCAGGACGTACCCGGCACTATCTTCTTCCTTCAGTGGGTTTAAGGGAACTTTTTTAACATAATGTGAATGTAGTTTTTTGTGATTTCTATGTACTACGGTTTGAAGTGGTACAATTTCTTTTATTTTTAGGACTGATTATTTGATGACATGAAAAAATGTATGTGTAGTTTTAAAATGAATGGAGAACAACGGCTTTAAGGCGCTCCGGCAGAAGTAGTGGCCAGATAGTATATTCTTGTTCAATATCTGCCCCTTTCTTCCAAAATGTTTTTCCTGTGACTTCCAGACACACTAAGTCCTTCTTCACTCCATGAAGTGTTTCTCCGTGGGGCCGCCCGTCAACGCGTCACGACCCAGGTCAGGATAGGTGAGTGCCGGGTACAGTGAGGGCAGGTGCAGGCTGTGACCCGTCTCTTACTGGAGTTGGTGAGACAGTTCCCCTTGAATTCGGCTTTTACCTCGTTGGGTGCTTGTCCACCCCACAGTGTTTCCTCCACGGTTCCAGGGACACCTCATGAAAAGCCTTTACGAAAGCGGGGGCTGCATAAGGTGTTCCCAAGGGTTTATGCAGTCAGTGATGTTATTGTGAGCAGGCGCTTTGAAGAGGCAGTTATCTGGTGCCAGGGCACAGATGATGGCTCTTAGCCTCCGACATACGGTGCTGACCTTCGCACATCTGCAAACAAGGGCGATGCTCTGAGGGGGGTTTCTCAGCAGACTCTATGCCTTCTTTGGGAGGGTGGAAAGGCTGAGACACGCTGCAGTGCTAAGAAGGAGGAGGAGGAGGTCTTTGTTGCATTTAGTCACCTGAACTGCGTTAACTTCACTGCTTGGTGTTCCTGAAGAAAACTTTTTTTATCTGTCTCATGCCAGCTAGCTCCGTTGAAGGAGTTTGCTCCTACTCCAAAGTTTCCCAGCCAGTCAGATGCCACTTTGTACCCTACCCGGGTCACAAAATGCAGGATTGACTGGTAAGGTTGCAGACCCAGGCTGTTATAGGGTTCAAAGTCATTAAAAAAAACTCGCAGTGAAGGATCAGTGTGAATTTCTAGTTTGCCTAAATTTCTCCCTTCATGCCCAACATTCTGTAATTAATGGGGAGCACTTTAGGTTGGTGTTTTTGCACGCCGTAGTCCTCACTGCTTACAAAACTGGGATGGCGATGGAAGCAGCATACCGAAGGTCCCCAGAAGCTTTTGAATCATCTCCCAGGGCTGTTATGTAGGAGCAGAAAGGGGAGCTCAGTTGCTGATTTGAGTGAGAGAGAAGGACCAGCACAGTGGCTGTATGGACACATGTCAGTTAGAAAGTTTTCACTCTGAGCCCATCAAATCACTTCATCGAGACAACTGAACAGTTACAGAAGGCGATGACCTAGGTTTATATCCTGGGGTTAAAAGCCTTTCTTAGCTTCTTACTGACATTGAGAGTTACTGAGATCCCCTCCTGTCCCACAGAACTTTCCAAATATCACAAAAATGAGTAGTTCAAACAGAAATTTGCAACACAGACTGAGCTAAACGTTGCATTTCCAGGGCTGTAGCTTGGAGAGCAGCTCACTCTGTCTGCTGGGTCTAAACCAGAGGGCTGGCTGCGTTACCTTTTGGTTCTTGTTTCCACTAATGTTAGCAGCTCGTGTTGGAGTGGCAGAAGTGCAGGCAGGATTTGCTGCCTGATCAGCAGCAGAGCGAAGTTTTTAGAACACAGGTCAGTTAGCAGTAGCTCAGGGAAACCAGCGAGCAGCGAAGCTCGTGTCTGCGCACACAGCCTGAGCTCTCGGTGGCCGTTTGTTTTGCCCCATCTA